AGGGGGGGGGGGTGGGTGTCCAAATTTTATTGAGATGTATTACATGAAATGTGCAAAATCCCCAAAAATACTAAAAATGAAGAAATAAATTACTTTTAAAAAGAAAAAAATGATTGCACAAGTAAGTGTTTAGCATAAAGTATTATTAAGTAAATTATTGCACATACCAATAAAACTATACCAGTACTGTTAATAATGCTAATTTTGTATATTCATTTGTGATGTTTGTCAAAGAATGAATGAATAAACAATTTGGGGTTGAGGCTGTAGCTCTGTTCCACAGCACTTGCCTAGCCAGTGAGAGACCGTGGGCTCAATCTCCTGAGAAACAAGAAAAACATCGATAATCCAAGAATACTTTTGTGTAACTGCAGTCTCAGTAACTCAGGAGGCTGAGATAGGAAGACTGCGTGAGCCCATGAGTTAGAGATTAGCCTGGGAGATATAGTGAGACCACATGTTTAAAAGACAACAACACGGGGCTTGAGAGATGGCTCAGCAGTTAAGAGCACTGACTATTCTTGCAGAGAACCTGGGTTCGATTCCCGGCAACCACTTGGTGGCTAGCAACCATCTGTAACTCCAGTTCCAGGGAATCCGATGCCCTCTTCTGACCTCTGAGGGTATTGTACAACACGGGTGCACCTACAAGCAATACACCCACACACATTAAATAAAAATAAATAAAATATTTATAAACAACAACAACAACACAACACTGTGAGTAGAATAGACACTAGAGGCTCTGAAGTCTAAGCACCTTTGTTTTTTCCTCTGGCAAGGAAATATTTGTGGTAAATGAAAAGAACAGGTTTCATACATAGAAGAGGAGAGTGGTGAGAAGCAAGGGACAGAAGGAGAATGCTGAGCTTCCGTTGTAAATTCTGAGAAATACTGAAGGATTTTTTAAAAAGTTAAATTTATTTATTTTTATTGTATGTACATGTCTGTTTTGCCTGCACGTATATAAGTGCATAAAGCTCATGCAATGTTCATGGAGGCCAGAAGAGGGCATTGGATCCCCTGGTACTGCAGCTAACAGTGGGTTGCTAGCCAACATGTGAGTACTAGGAATTGAACCATGGTCCTCTGCCAGAGCAGCCAGTGCCCTTAACCACTGAGCCATCTCTCAAGCCACAAGGATTTTGGTATACAAATCATAGAAAAATACAGATTTTTAATAAGAATACACTAAATGACATTGGCAATGGGCAAAGAGAGCAGACACAAAAAGACTCTCTGAGTTGGAACCCCTCCGATTAATGAGAAAGGGTCAGTATTTCCAAAGGTGTCTTCAGCTTATGTGCCTGATACATGTTTATAGGTTAAAAAACATGGCAGTATATTCACATAGGAGTAAGTCAATTTTCCTATATTTTAGTTCTTTTTTTAAAAAAGTAAATCTTTTGTTAAAAAATTAACTTATAATTCAACAAACATTTACTGCCCATTTATACAAGACACAGTTTGGAATACTGCATAGCATTCATGTTTACACAACTAAAGTACATTATTAATTCAATAGTATATTCTTTAAGAAGAGCTTGCCTAAACTTCATTTGGCAAATCTCAATGGATGTTGTTTTAGGTGATTAAATGTACTATAAACTGCCCAGCAACGCCCTTGGTTCCCCCACTACCACATACCTCAACAGATATGCAGCTAAGTATGGTGAGAGTAAATACAAGAACCAGGTGAATTCATGTACACACAGCCTTAAATATTTATGGTTTTGTGCATAAACAAGCAATCTCTTCCATTTCCTATTTTGCCTTTAGTTCAGAAGGTATATTGCTTTTTATGTCGCTGAACTTCATTTCCTCAGCACGGTACCAAGGATATTCTTGAAGGCCTTGCTTGGCAAACTAATATGTCTTCTAAGATAAACTGCACTAAAAAATGGCTTCTGAGCAACTGTAGCATACCTACTGTAAAACTCATAAGCATCATGACACAGCTGAATTCTCAAATGCTGTATAGCTCTGCTTCAATTATAAGATGGATCTGAGCAACTTAGGTTTCAAGTGTGGACTTGAAATTTTATTACTTAGCACTGCGCTAAAGTGCCACTAGTTAATAAATAATATAAAGCCAATTCAGTTGACTAATAGACCTGATATAAAAATAAGAGAAATGATTCCCAGGCCCACTATATGTTCTATTGGATGCCAAATATGCATGCCTGATTTTCTTTTAAAGAATCTGACAGAATCTTTCTATCTAAATGTAAGCAAAACCATGTCATAGAATCAAATAATCTTGCAAGTTGTCAAGTATTTATGTCACATGCTAAAAAGATCATGCTCAGTCCTATCGATCGCAGTCAGTCTTTAAAAGGGATTTTAAATTACAAAGTGAAAAAATCAGACCAATTCTAACATATGACTTTTAAATGTTTATGGAATATGTTGAATTAAGCAGATATTATTTGACTAATATGTCCAATGATAATTTAAAAATTCCTAGATTGCAGATGGAAAATATTCAGGAAGACAGAGCACAGTGCCAACCACAATGGAATTGCTCATTCATAAAGCAAACAAATTTGTGTTGATCACCTAAGTGATCACCTTACCCTCTTCTTGCCAATTATTTGAATAGCAGATTTGGGGAAGTCTCAGATACATAACTATGTTCTTTAATATATGATTCCTACATAGTCACTTCATGTGAATTAAAACGAAGGGAGAGGATAATGAAAAATAATTCACTATAATAATTGAACTACATGAGGTACCCTTATATTTATCTCAATGGAAATAGCACATTGTAAGCTCTCAATCAATTAATGACATGCTATAAGAGATCTGAAAATACTTGTGATTTTTCTGAATATATATATTTTTTTTTTCTACCCAGTAGAAAGTAGTCTCTAGTATTTTTCTATTTACCTAGCTACTGTTCATTTATTTTAGCCTAAGATTTCAGGGGGATAAATTCTAACATTTTGATTTGAAGGGAAGAAAATTAGCCAGTACAATACTATACACTATTTTGCATGCATTAACGGAACTAAGTATGAGCACTGTCAAAGAGAATATCTTAAATAGTTTGACAATTTGTGAATATAAAAACTAAGAACTTTTTTTCTGAGTTAATATTCCATTTAATTATGTAGTTATACAGTATAAAAAAAAACTAAAGTGTGTTTCTTTGTACTGTTTGTATGAAGTGCTACTTAATTTATAGGCCTTTATGCTCAATACATACCACAACTCCAAACTGCTCAGACTCACAGAGATCATCATATTCATTCTTAAGTTGTGCTAATTCTCTCAATACCTTCTGCTCGGGAAGATGTTTTACAAGATTCTAAAAAAAAAAGAAAAAATGTATAAAAGGTTAGTGTGTTATTATTAAAATTTTAGCTAATACAATGGCAATTCAACAAGTTATACAGAATAAATATATTGCAAAAATCAAACATTTTTCAAGAGAAAAATAGCCTACATACTAGGACCAAAATGAAGTCTAGCCAACATAAAAAGACCATATATGAAAACCTCATATGTTACATCATAAATAAAATATTATTAAATTGGATAACCTAGAAGAAAAGTAGTGATCCCTGTAAAACACAAGGGACAAAAGTAGATTCAAGAAAAAATGGAAAATCTGAATACAGTGATAAAAATAGAGATTAAATCAGTAATCAGAATCTTCCAAATGAAGCAAAAGCCAGGACCTCATGGATTCACTGATGAAGTCAGTGAAATATTTAAATTACAACTATTACCATTTTTTCTCAAACTCTTCAAAAACTTAAGAGGGAGGAATGATTAACTTATTTCATGAAACCAGCATTACTGATACCAATACTAGTAAAAATCATGACAAGAAAGGAAAACTATCAATTACATTAAAGGTTGATTATGAACTCCTTATTTGCAAATTGTGTGCTATTTGTTGCTTACCTAATAACGCTGTAAGAAATTTAAATACTATCATATATGTGGGTGGTCAAATCAAGCATTCTTGACTTGTTCTTAATTGTGACTTTTCAGTTTTTGCATTGTATGTGAATTTCTTGTTGACTGCATACACAAGGATGTGAATTTCATATAAGATAAATTAATTTAAAATCCTCTTTCCCCAACTCTTCTTTTTATCAGAGAGTTAAAGACATTGCTACTTAAATTAGCTGGATATATTTTTTCCCATGTGATTTACATGACTTTTTAAATTCCTCAATTTTTGCATTATTAAATTTTTTTGTTTTCTCAAGAATAAGTCACATGTCAGTCTATAGAACAATTACTAATGAGTTTTAAAATATATGACAGAATGCATGAAATCCATTGTTGGGGATATGGGGGCTGCAGATGGGGAAGGGGGTGTAAAGATGACTAAGATGTTTTAAGATGCTTTTTATGAAGTGTGCAACAATTCAATAAAAATATACATTATAAAAAAGATACATTAACACAATATTAAAGATAAAAAACAATCTGAATGAAATTTAAAAGACTGATGTCATATCAAATATCTTTTTGATAATAATTGAAAGACACTTGAAAACATGTATAAATTAATGAGGACAGTCTTAGTTAATAGGTCATAAATTAAATAGAAAAGGGAATGAAGAAAATGAAGAAAGCCTGAGGACTCTGGGAAAGCATAAATATGCCAATGCTTGCATCACAGGATCTTCAACATGAAAGAAAAAGGGTGAAAAGGGATCAAAAACAATATGTAAAGAACTGACAAGTAAAACCCCTAAAACTGGTCAGGCATGGTGGCACACCCCTTTAACCTGGGGAGGCAGAGGGAGGTGGAGCTTTATGATATTGAGGTCAGCTCAGTCTATTTAGGATGATTCAGGCCAGCTGGGGCTACAAGGAAACCCCGACTCGAAAAAAAAAAAAAAACAAAAAACAAAAAAAAAAGCATTCAAAACTTCATCAAGTCCAGGTAGGATGATCTAAAAGCATTCACCATGGGGCATATTATAGGAAATTTCCAAGACTCAGACTTGTAGCATAAAGAGGAATTACATGACCCACATAAGAGATTTTTCAGTAAATTAGTATCTAGTATCTAATTTTTTCAACAGAAATCATGGGATCCAGATCAACTGAATAACACATTAATATGTAGTATCCTGAGAAGGAAAGGCAAAACACTAAATTAAAATTCTGTATTGAGCAAATGATCCCCCTTTCAACAATAACATTAACACAAAAGGATGATTAAAGTTGATGTGTTTGTCTTTGTACCATATATTCCTATATGCAGAAAACAAAGTACACACACACACACACACACACACACACACACACACAAACACAAACACACCTACGAGGGCTAGTACAAAATGGAAAAATCAGTATAATTTCAATTTCATTTACAAAAGCATCAAAATAGTATCTAATAAAACCACTGCTTCATAATTGTTAGAATATTTTTATGAAAACAAAAGGTGAAGATACTGTACAGTGCTGAGGACATGGAAAAATTAAAAAATCTTGTTAACTTCTGGGGGTGTGCAGTGGAATAAAATGATTTAGTTATGATTAAAATAGTTTGGTGGTTCTTAAGAAATTAACCATACCATTTCAAACTCCACTTCAGCCTTTGATGGTTATCTGTTAACTTGACAGGACAAAGGGTTGTCCAAATTATCAGTCTCTTTAAAACATCTCATGTTGCAATGTGTAGTTTCTCATAATTTACTTTATAAATATATGCTTCTAGATCTCTGGATGCTCTTAGGTATGTCCACAAATGAGCTGAAAACAGGCATATATACAAATATTCATAGCATGACTATTCAGCTAGATGATAAAAAAGTGATCTGTGTCTGAAAAAATGGATGAATAAAATGTAGTTTATGTACACATTACAAAGAGTAATCAGTCTTAAAGTAATGAAGGTTTGATGTGTACAACATGAATAAACCTTGAAAGCATTTTACATATGAAATAATAGTGCAAAGGGATGAAGATTGGTTGATTTCATTCATATGATATATTTAGAGGAGGCCTAGGCTAGAGATATAGCTTAGCAGTTAAGGAGTACTTGCTGCTCTTGCACGGGCCCTGCATTCTGTTCCCAGCACCCATGTCACAGTTTACAACCATGTGTAACTCCAGTTCCAGCAGATCTGATGCCCTCTTCTAACTTCTGCAGGCACAACACACATGTGGTATACTTACATATACACAGACAAAATACTCATAGACATAAAATAAGAATAAATTTTAAAAGAGGTCATTTTTTTTTATTATTAGAAGAAGCATTTCACTACAGCTCTAAGATACTCATTAACTGTTTCCAGGGCAAAGATACATCTCTTTCAAAAGTGGATAGCTAAAGGCTACATAAAAAGCAACAATATCAGACAGGCAATACCTTCTTTTGAGTTGTTTGCCAGGGTGGCCAAAGGGACTCCCAGATAGTAACCCAGCATAGAACTGGGAAAATGAACAGCTGACCCCAATTTTATCTAAAGGAATATTGACAGCTGATTACTGCTAGATGAGGAACAGCTGACCCTCCTAAAACAAAGACCTCGAGATAGGCTGACTAGATTAACCAGATGGACAAGTAGTGGGGAATGGCTGGGGGTGCCGACAACACAGCAGACAGTAGCAGGGATACCAGAGTATAAGGGCTCTAGTGGGGGAAGGAAGGCTATGGGAGGGTGTTATCTGAGAAGTGGGTGTAAAAATGAATAAATAAATAACTTTCAAAAAAATTTAGGTTCACTGTTGAATTAATACAGTTATACGATATTGAACTCAGTATAAGCCCTGTAAGACATAAAAAGGAATGAGTTTTTAACCTTAAAAAAAGATCTCCATTTCATTTTAAAATATACTGTTTCTTACAGACATTGTTTTTGCTCATAACACTGAGATGTTGGTGCATTCCTCTCTAATCTATATGTATCTGATTATTACTAGTCATAATCGGTTGCACTCGGATCCTTGGCACCTGTGTATGTCTATAAAGTCATCAGTAGATTTCAGTGGTAATGTTTATCACCTCTACTAATTAACATGATATAAATTTTTATGTTTCCTCCTCAAATATAATTCTTTTTTTAAATTTGTTGATTTTTTTTTTGTGTGTGTGTGTATATCACACAGAACATCCCAAACCATCTTAGTCAACTGTACACCCGCTTCCTGTATGGCACCATACTTATACTCTGTTATCCCTGCTACTGTCTGCTGGGATGTCGTCACCCCCAGCCATTCCCCACTACTTGTCCATCTGGTGAATCTAGTCAGCCTATCTAGAGGTCTTTGTTTTAGGAAGGTCAGCTGTTCCTCATCTAGCAGCAATCAGTTGTCAATATTCCTTTAGATAAAATTGGGGTCTGCTGTTCATTTTCCCACTTCTATGCTGGGTTAGCATCTGGGAGTCCCTTTGGCCATCCTGGCCAACAACTCAAAAGAAGGTATCTCCTGTCTGGCATTGTTTCTTGTTATGTAGTCTTTGGTTGTACATATGGACTCTTAAAAATTATATTGGCCCCTTTAACCTTTGGTTATATTTTCCATTTGGGTGTTTAAGGTCATACAGTTGGCCGAGATAAACCAATTTATTTTTACTCTTAAGGCCGTTTGAGGATCTGTTCCTCAGGGGTCACATGGGCTTGGGAGGAGCCCCTGGCACCTTTCTTTTACCAGTTCTACCTATGTGAAGATAAGCCAAAGGTCCTCCTTGATCATGCCTGGCTTCACTTGGAAGCATGGAGGAAATGAGGTCAGTTTTTAGAGCTAATTCCTTTGACTTAGAAGAAATATACTGAAATCAAAACTTGTATGTCTATATTACTTCATTAATATAATCATTTCTTATAAAATTGACACTAACTTATAACTAAGGTATTATTTCCATTCTTTAAGGAAACTGTTTGTTAGAGCTGGGGAAGGGACTTGGAGCCTTTATGTATGAGGAAAATGCTCTACAACTAAGCTATATACCACATTTCTTACTAAAACATTTTGAATGTGTGAAATTTTATAAGTTTTGAAGACTTCTGTTGGTGTTTTGTTTTTTGGAAACTGTCATTAGCGAAAACAAAGAGGCACCGTGGTAACATGAAGACTTTTCACTACAGTGAAACTGAATTAGGAAGATTAAATCATTGTTAAAAGTGTTAAATGATTCAATTCAGGATATTTAAAGCTCTCCATTTTGCTTTTAAGTTTTAACTATGAAATTAATAATGATGAACAATATCAAGTCTAAAATAGAATTTAACTCAGCAGGTGAAAAGTGTTGTTGATATTTTATTTCACCGTTAGCTAGCTATAGATTACCTGTTAACTCATACGATGAATACAGGTTCCTCAGTGGGA